TAAACGCACATACTAGTCGGATCAAGGACCGTTTAACATCTCTATCCATTTTGAATATTTTATAAATTTTCGTGTGCATTCAAATTGTATTATCTATATATATATATAATTGCTAGCATATATTATTTAATAAAACTTATTTAATAAAACCTCTAAAATTTTCCCTCCATTTTCGGTTACAAAATTTATCATTAATATTTTTTTATTTCTCACATTAATACATCCTATTGAGTGTAATTATCTATGTTTCTATTATATAATATAATAGTTATTGTTAGTACCAACTAATAATAATTCACAATAAATATAAAAACAATTGCTTCAAGTTATTTATTTTAACATCAATATTATCTTTTTCTTTGTATCTCATGAAAAAAATTATTTAAAAACAATTATTAAATTATTTTAATAGGATAGTCAAACAACTTTAGAAGCTTATAAACAATTGTTTAATAATAATAATAATAATGATAATAATAATAATAATAATAATAATAATAATAATAATAATAATAATAATAATAATAATAATAATAATAATCAAACTGTTATTATCTCATGATAATAAACAATTGTTCATAATAATAAAATTATTAATTTATTTTTTCTAATAATCAAATCTTGAAAATGTAATATGTTCATTATCTAGAATTTTAATATTAAATTCACAGATATTATTTATAATATTTTATTTACATATGTGCATGTGCACAAGATATCTACTAGTATATTATTATTTTGCACAGCCCAATTGGATAATTTTGTGGATGCTATATAACACCATCTATACTTATATAAAAAAGCATTCTATTTACTAGAATTAGTAGTAAGAAAAGTCGAAGGTAATTAATGCATTCTATTTCCATCAAGTATTTCATTTAATTATTTTAGTTAATTGTTTTATCTCATAACACCTTTTTCAATACAACTTACCATGATTTTTGTATTGTGATTAAAACCCAAATTTTACGTTTAAAATATTGTGAAATTATTATTATTATTTTTATAAAGCACATATTATTTGTTAACAAATTGTATATATATATATATATATATATATATATATATATATATAATAGGGGGAGGATCCAATGAGTACACTCCTTAAAATGAGTACACTCCTTAAAATGAGTCAACTCCTTAAAATATATATTAATTAAATAATAAAATAATTATTAGTTGACTCTGGCGTTGACCGTTGACTTCCGGCGTTGACTGTTGACTTCCGGCGAAAAATCATTGACTTTCGACGTTGACCGTTGACTTCTCGCGTTGACTCCGGCGTTGACCGTTGACTTCCGACGTTGACCCGCTGACCCCTAGTATGCATCATATGTATGAAGTAAATATATATCCAGTACCATGCATTCAATATGAACTAAATATGCATGGGATATGAATTGCACATGCAGTCCTTATGAACTAAATATGCACCAATAATATCAACTAAGTATGCACCTGTTATGAACTAAATATGCATCTTTTATGAACTAAATATGCATCATGAATGAACTAAATATGCAACGAAAAATATGCAATAAAAATGTACATTTTATATAGGTAATTTATGATGCATATTTAGTTAATTTATTATGAATATTTAGGTAATTTATAATGCATATTTAGTTAATACGAAATGCATACTTGTTATATTTAAATTAAATATATAATAATATGTATATAATTAATTTATTATGCATATTTACTTAATTCATGATACATATTTAGTTCTTACGAAATGCATATTTAGTTCATGAACAGCGCATATCTATTTTATTTGAAATCCAATCATAACAATTTATTTGTGTTATTAATCAATTTAAAATTAAAATTAATTATATAATAAAAATCATTAATTATTATATTTAATTTAATTGTATAAAATGTATATTTTATTGCATATTTTCGTTGCATATTTAGTTCATTCATGATGCATATTTAGTTAGTAAAATGGGCATATTTAGTACATAAACAGTGCATACATAGTTGATATTACTGGTGCATATTTAGTTCATAAGGATAACATATATAATTCAATTATGATGCATATCTAGTTCATACTAAGTGCATACCTATTTTATTTGAGATCCAATCATAACAATTTATTTGTGTTATTAATCAATTTAAAATTAAAATTAATTATATAATAAAAATCATTAATT